ATTGTTATGCCTTCAAAGTACTGCAAAAAGTCTTCCTGGATCCCTTTGGTGTGTAAATGAGCCTTTTCTTTTGGAGTATCATGTGGAGACTGAGAAGAGGAGATTTCATCTAGTCAGCTATTTAGTAGCTATAGGAGTTTTTGCTTAAGTACACTTATAGGCCTTGCTGAAATACAGTGCTGCTCTGAACATGCGTGTTGTCAGATTACTAGCAGGATCAGGAAGGTGGTGTACTGTTCAGGATGACTGTTTCCTAAACTATTCTAATAATATGCAGTTCCCAGTGTACTGGAATATGCCACTCTCATAAGCACTGTAAGGGTAGAACGTTGTCCTTGTCTGTGATTAATGCACATTTCAGCCAGCATGGGCTCATGAAAGGCCTGCTTGACTGATCTAATTTTCATGACCAGATGACCTGCCCGGTGGACAAGGGAAAGGCTATTGACATAGTCTACCTAGACTTCAGCAAAGCCTCTGACGCTATCTCCTGCAGTATTCTCCTGGAGAAGCTGGCAGCTCGTGGCTTAGACACGTATACTCTTTGCTGGGTAATGAACTGGCTGGATAGTCAAGCTCTGAGAATGGTGGTGAGTAGAGTTAAATCCAAATGGTGACTGGTCAGGAATTGTGTTCGCCAAGGTTGGTATGGGGCCTGTCCTGTTCAGTATCTTAATTGATGGCCTGAATGAGGGGATTGAGAGCACCCTCTGTAAAACTGGCTGGAAGACTGTGTGGAGGAAAAGGACCAGAAGGAGTTGGTTGACACTTGGCTGAATGTGAGCCAGTCGTGTGCTCAGGTGGCCAAGAATGCCAATGGCTTCCTGTCTTGTATCAGAAAATAGCGCAGCCAGCAGGAGCGGGGAAGTGATTGTTTCCCTGTATTCAGCTCTGGCGAGGCCACACTGTTTTCAGTTTTAGACCCCTTATTACAAAAGAACATTGAGGCCCTGCAGCTTGTTCAGAAGATAGCAGCGAAGCTATGAGGGGACTCGAGCACACGTCTTATGGGGAGTGACTGTGGAAACTGGGATTGTTCAGTCTGGAGAAGAGGAGGCTCAGGGGAGACCTTATTGTTCTCTACAACTACCTGAAAGGAGGTTGTGACAAGGTGGGGGCCGGCCTCTTCTCCCAGGTAACACCAATAGGACAAGCAGGAATGGCCTCAAGTTCTGCCAGGAGAGGTTCAGGTTGGATATTAGGAAAAGCTTATTTTCAGAAAGAGTGGTGATGCAGTGGCACAGGCTGCCCAAGGAAGTGGTGGAGTCACTGTCCATGGAGGTGTTCAAGACTTGTGTGGATGTGGCACTGAAGGACATAGTTTAGTGGGCAACATTGATGGTAGGTGGATTGTTGCACTATATGATCTTAGGTATCTTTTCCAACCTTGGCAATTCCATGATTCTATTATCTCAAAATGTGTGTAGCTTCAGGAATGATTTTTCCCCCCCTCTGGAGTGCTGGACATTTGTTACTTTTATTATACCATACTACAATTTTCTTTCTACCCACCCTTCCCTTTTTTAAATTCCCCCAAAGTCCACCACTGGGCAGCAGTGGATTTGGACTTTGGGAGTTGCTTGGTGCTAGACTGGTTTTTAATATCTCAAATGCTGCTGTCTCTCCTTCAGCCTTATTAAGAGTTTCTAAAATTAATTTAGCATGATGAAGTAGTGCTGCAGTTTGCACTTATTGTCAAATAATTTATTGAGTCAATGCACTCATTCAAACTCAGAGAATGACATCATACTGACTCTATTGTCGCTTTCACAGCTGAAATTCACAGATATAAACAGACATGAGGAGAATGAGTTTTCTCTATCTCTGTCAAACTTGTGTGTGGTGTGAAATCTAGCTCCAATGTTACTTAAGCCCTTTTCATGATGGTTTAAAAACTCCTTAATATCCATCAGCATGACAATTTGAAATTATTAGAACCAGTCTCAATACTTCTGACCTCACTCATGGTGTCTTATCTACTTTCCCTGCTATTTCACATACTTAAAATGAACAAGTTGCTAATGCATCCTTTTGTGTACATTTGTTAATTAAAAATAAAAAGCAAATGGTGTGTTAGATTTTTAACTGCTCTCTCTCCTCTTTTCCCAAGACTTTGCCAAAACGAGATTTACATTTAAAAAAAATCTTTTTATAGAGTAGTTTCCCTGTTTAAATGCTGATTTTTTTCCCCTCAGTATTCATGAATCTTGCTGTTGTTACTTTTGATGCTTAAGATAAACTCAAAAAAGATCAAATTCAGAAAGTGACAAGGAAAAGAAGTTTAAAGCACTAGCCACATGCTAACATTTGTGGCCATTTAATGGGCCATTTCCACTTTCTCTGTGAAATATCCCTGCCTTTCTCTCTCCAGTAATCTCGTGGTTGGGGTGCTCCTGCCACCCCTCTTTCAATCACAATGGGCTGTGTATGCACATCACCATCCTTTCTGTCTGCACCGGGTCTGGTGCTGGCTGCTGCCTTCTGCTTTCACTAAGCAGCAGTCTTGGGTTGGGGTGAGGAGACAGAGGAAGATGTGCAGTATTGGATCTGACACTAGAAAGGGGCTGGGAGCAGGGGATGGGGAGAAATCCTCTTCTTTGGCTGCAGTAAGTGAGTACTTTATTTCAGCTGCTTCTTAACTTTCAGTGCTGTTGCTTCCATGACCTCCACCCATCTTTTGTACTTGTTGCTGTGTTCAGTGAGCTTTTTCTTCAGATATTTCCTTTAAAATTTCTTCATAAAAGCAACCCAACAAAAGAAGTAGTAAGGTCACTTTAAGGCATACTGAAAGATAGCTGATCTTGTGGGTAGTAACATTGGCCATGAGAGAGCTCAATGATCTTTCAGGTCCCTTCCAGCTTTTGCCATCCTATGCAATGGCTGGTGTGCTGAGTTTTTTGTTGATGAAGTTGATCTAATGGCTGACTTAGGCCTCAAGAAAATGTTGCATTCACTAAAGGTGGTGATTGCTAGTTGTCCAGTACTATGAGGCTGAAGAGAGGATTTCTCTAAATAGAGGTACAGTCTATTCTGGCAACAGAATAGACTCTTGATGCTGCTGGAGGTAGGTATGAACTCTGCTAGGCCTATGAGGACTGTCAGTATCACTGAACTATAAAATAGTTGATGCTGGATGCTCCTGTTCTCCAGGAAGGAATAAGTGAGTTAAAGCTAGCTCAGGCCAGTTGCCCTCTTTAAAATGCATTTTGTGAGCTGTGTAGCTCTTCCAGGAAGGCTGCTTAGGCAATTTGAGGAGCCAGTGGCACAGCTGCCACATAGCTGAAACAAAGGTTGCCATCCCTTCCCCTTGTGTTGAGATCTTTCCAGCTTTTCCTGCAAACGTTTGTGGTTATTCTTCCCATTCTTCCATGTGTTTGTCATTCCTTCACATCTCCTCTGAGCCATCTTTTGCTGCCAGGTGTCTGTCGATCAGTCACACAGTTCACACCATTTCTTTTTAGGACTGTCCTTGCACATCTTCTGCAGGAAGAACTGAGCTCTCTATTGGTTTCAGGTGCTTTACAGTCTGGACCCATGGCTCAGAAAGGAAAGACTTTTCAGAAGTGACACTTCTCTGTGAGAGAGGAAGTGACCTTGCTGTGGGCTTGAGAAATCCCAAGGCTTCTGTCTGCATCTCAGGTTTCTGGCAAAAACCACACGAGCTGGTTATGTGGAGAAGGAAGCTAAGGATACCCAGTGAGACAGCTCAGAATAGTGCTCCACTTCTTCCTTCTCTCTCTTCTTCTGTCATTCACTGTCACTGATGTTGGTGCTGTCAGGTCCATGGCAACCTGCATGCAAAGGAAATCTGAGAGGAGGCTGAACTGTTCCCAAGATGCCACAGTGGAGGCTTCTGTTCTTAGCACAGTATATGCTATGTAAACTTACTGGCAAATATTTATCTTTCTAAAATTTTAAGCTAGATCTGCACATGCAATCTTGTCTCAGTGTCCCTGAGCTGTCACGGTGCTTTATGGAGTGATTTTGTGGTGTCTGTTTATCCAAGGGACTCTAGGAGCACTTGCTCATAGATGATGTGTCCAGCATGTTGGGAAACTGAGCAGGTTCTCCTCTACAGCAGGAAAATTATCTGATTGTGGGTAATAGGACAAATGTTTGTTTCCCAAAGTGAAGGTACTCACCTTGAGGAACTCTAGGTATTTATAAGTAATCCATAAAAAACAAGTATAAACCACTATTGCAGTATCAGTGAAATTATCTTTCTTTGATTCTGCCATTAGCTGACAAAAACAGATTTCCTGGTAGTAACTTTTCATATACTTTCATGTATACATGTATGTGTATGCACATGTGTATGCATATCCATAAGTATGTATATATAAGGAATATTTTTAAACACAAATATCCAGGGAAGCTTATGATACCTCATAATAAATCTTGCAGTGTCAACATTAAATGTCGATCAGTACTGACGTTTACCTCCTGGCCTGTCTAGTGAGTTTGTTGTTACTTAAATTCTTTGATTAATGGTATGCCAGATCAACAACTCTGATATACAATGTATAATTAAACTGCTGCCTATGAATGGTGCTTTCTGTGCTGTTCTCAGTTCTGTATGACAAAGTAGATTCCTGCATCAAAACAAAACTAGCCTCCATTGACACATTTTCCTGAGTCAGAGGCTTCTACATGCAGTAGATGGCAGTGGTCTTGCTTCTTTTTCACAGCACAGTCTCCACAAAGTCTTGTGAATACGTTGCCTATTCAAGTCATCATCTCTGCGGTATGTCTGTAGAAGTAAGACTTCTCTGCCCACCAAAGAATCTCACTACTGAGAGACCTCTCCATTAAAAGGATTTCCCTACTAAAAAGTTAGGAACTTTTCATAATCACAAGTCATAGAATCATAGAATCACTGAGGTTGAAAATGACCTCTAAGATCATCTAGTCCAATTGTCTATCCACTACCGATGTTGCCCACCAACCACATCCCTCAGTGCCACATCTGCACAGCTCTTGAATACCCTCTGTGCAGCCTGTGCCAATGCCTCACCACACTTTTTGAGTTTTTCCTAATACCCAACCTGAACCCTCCCTGGCACAACGTAAGGCCATTATCTCTTGTCCTAGATGTCAACTCCCTTCAACTGTTTTTTTCTTGTCTGCCTTACCTTATTCCTCTGCCAGATTGCTATCCTCTCCTACCAAGATTTGTTTGGTCTGTTCTATTAATACTGTCAGAACTTAAGCATCTGTGTCTATTACATCTGCTTTTCCCTTCTTTTTTGCTCCTGAACATAGAAACAAGACGTATGACTGCTCTGTTACAGCTGTGGAGAGCTACAGGATTTTTAGGATGTGAGACAGCAGCCTCTCACTACATGCTGTTAACTGATACTATTGCATTCTGCATAATGTGCAGGATGTGAAAACGTCTCAGCTGAGAACTGCTTTGGGTAAATGAATGTTTGGCCCAAGTCATGAGGAAGATTAATTATTATTCCAGTGGATTTTACTCTCCTTCTTTTCAGTTGATTTTGGTTTACTTTTATTCTACTTTGGCTCACTCCCATGTGTGACTGCCAGATCTGCAAACAAAAACATCTGTCATGGGCAGGAGGAGCAGTGAGCTCAGGTGCATCCCCTGGTCCTCAAAGGAGCTGAGAGCCTTCCAGGCAGTATGTTCAGGTGCATGGCTTTCTTCAAGAAGAAATCAATGGAGAAATGACAAAAGTCTGACTACGAATATCCCATGGGTCTGGGATTTTTTGTATGCGTCACATTGGAAACCCCTTTGTGGTTCTTCCCATCAGTGCCATTGGACATCCCACCATGGCTTTTCTCATCAGCCCATGTCGAAGTGGGAGTACCAGGCAGCATCGCTGTCTGAAAAAGGCACAGCCACATCATTCCCTGCTATTAAGCTCTGAAGCCAGCTGTGACACAATGAGTGTTTGCTCATGATCTCACAAGGGGATCGGTTCTACCATGGTGTGAGGACCTGCTGCAGAGAGATCGAGGTAAGGTAACAGCCCCTACAGCGCTAAGGACTGTTTACCTCTTTCTGGCAGCATTTGCAGCCAAGTGGTCAACCTCACTGCCCACAGTGGAATTGAAATCTGAAGTGCTCCTGTGGAGAGCTCCTGCAGTCTGTGTTTCTGTGCTGATGGTGGCCTCAGTCAGGGGTGCCACACTGACAGTTAGCATAAGGAGTTGCCCCAGCGAGGACCAGCGTGGGTGATAAGTGCTGTCAGACAGTGCTGATAGCAGCTTGGTTTGTTTACTTAGGGCTGAGGTAGTGAAAAGGCATTCTGGGGCCCTGGCAGAGCTTAGCATGGTGGCATTTGTTCCGCAGACCCTCCAAGGAGCCATGCAAACTGTAGGCTGGCACTTGTCACGCCAGCCAGGACCTGTCCCCTGCCTGGTGCCCTTCCCTCAAAAGCTGGCCCTGTTCCTAGCACGGCCGTCCCAGCAGCGTGTGGAGCACTTGGCGTGGCCCAGCAGCGGCCTCCTCCCACGAGAGCACACAGGCCTGTGCCCTGTGCCTGTGGTTGCTCCCTACAGCTTTTGTTGTGCTGGGCAGAGCCAGGCATTAGATATCATATCGTTAATGAGGTTAACTCCCCTGGATAGTCACAGACACGCTGGTAAGGCTGCTCTGGGAAACAACTCTTGTTTTTAAGTACTTTAAAAGCAACTCTTTGTAGTAAGGTGCAGCTGTAGTCATTTGGTGCTCATATTCACCTTTTTTTGGCTAAATATAGCAGAATGTTAGCATACTTCCAGGCTAATCATATTGCTAATCATTTTGCTCAGAACAGCTGCTGTAGGCACAGGCTACCAACGCATGCTTGTCCACTTATTTCTTCCATACTCAATACTATCGGACACCTCTTATGAAAATCAAAGGCAATTGAAAAAATAAATCACTGAAAATCTGTCCTGTGCTACTTGGGACTTTAACTGGGTTTTGCTTTTATGTACTCATGAACACAGCTGGGAAATACTTTAATGTATTGAACAAACACCTTGCAGTAGTCTAGGCTGAATGTTGTGAGCATAGTCCCTTTTGAACAGGGAGTTTCTGTGATAAGTTATTAGAGATAGAAAATTCTGGATGTTATTGCGAATGAAAAATTGGTTCTGGATCTGCATTTATCCTTCTAAGTTGGGAACCTGATAATGAATCAGCTAAAATGGAATCTCAAACAGATGCTCTTAACGATAGCTCTGCATATCCTATCCCTTTGTTTCCTACCTGTGAACATTTCCGTTTAATCTTAAGGGGTCCCTGGGTGGAATGCACCTTATTCTTTATAAATTTGACATTAACCCAAATCATACTGACTCATCAGGGCAAGCAAGAATGTTCCCATATCAACTCAAACCATGAGATAGGCTTCAGAATAGCAATGGGCTGAACTGATCTCTGCTGTGAAATGAAAGAAGCGAGTTAGGAGAAGGTATTAAATAAAGAAACACTCACAAATTCCTGCCACACAGTTTCCCGTGGAGAAGCTGGATTTATGGTCCTGGCAAAGGTATAACACTGTAACAGAAATGAAGCCTGGTCAATTTATTTGATGCTATCAGAGAAGGTTCTGCATTTTAACCAGGAATGATTCAAAGAAAAATGCATGCACTTCATAGGAGCTAGCCCCTTCCAACAGAGTGTCCTGATTCTTATGCGGAAATTCCCACTTTTCAAAATTCTTGACTGTAAACGAGTAGAACTTCAGCATGAAGGAGAATTTTGTTGTGCCACATTCTGCAAAAGATGACTCTAGGCTACTATCAGCCCAGGGCCCAGAACTCCATCTTACTAATCAAGAACAGCAAGCATCAGATTTCATGAAGAAGATGACTTCAAACACCAGGCAACTCTTGCTCAGAAGACAACTAAATAGCCTGGATCCTGGCCTGAAGTTTCTTGTCATTTCTAGTGGCTCCCAGCTTAAGTGGACCTGGCCACTGGTTACTGTTTGGAATCTGAGTGTTTCTAGGTGTGGCAGGCTTCTTTTCCCTTTCAGCACTTTAGAAGCAGGTATATTCTCATTCACTGGTCACCTAGAAAGCCAGGCATGTAAAATTTCAGAAATACAGTGCCCAGGTAAGGTGATTGTACTGTATTCACAGGGCGTGCTGATGATAAGTGGTTGGCATGGAAAGCTTCTGCAGAGCTCTCAACATGAAGGGAAATGGTCAGAATAATCTGAATCAACTAGAGAGCCAACACCTTTGCATTCAAGCAGGGATTCAACACTTGCTTGTTCTTTGTATTTATTTCTCTTGTCCTTTCCACTCTGTTTCTGAAAGATACAGGTGAAGGCACAGGTACCTGTCCTGCTGCTCTGTGATATACAAAATTCAGCCCCTGAGTTTTGTGAGGCTGAATGTGGCTGAGACTTCAGGTGCTGCTGCTGCTTAGTCTTTGAAAATAGTAGCTTTAGAAAAATGAAAATGTTTTATTGAAGCTCTGGATGGTAGAACAAATCACAGTGTACAAAAACTTAAGACTGAAGGCTTGTGTTCACGAACCACAATCTGATTAAGCTATTGTGTGCTTGCAGACTTCAGTACAGAATATTCAACTTTTTGTTTTCTTCACAGAAACATAAGTCCTGATACACATGCTGAAAATACACATGATGGGAAATTTGTAGACTATGAAAATAATATAGTCCAAGAAGCCAGTAAGAGGCATGCAGCAGGAGAGGAAAATGTGCAACAATTACATTTGTTTTTATTGAAAGATCAGGAAAACAAAAAGCCACAAGCTCCAACACAACATCCAGTAACAAAATAAAGCAAGAGACAAAAGAACACAAGCCTCCAAGAATTTATAGCAAACATTGCAGCTTCATCTTTTAGACAGCTGGAGAATTACTGTCTGACTTCATTGAGAAACATTTCTAAAGCTAAGAAGGAATCTCCTTGTGAATCACCTGTGCAGATCTACAAAGCAGGCATGTCTCTTAACTCTGGAGATCATCATGAACAAATACCCTCAACCACAGGCAGGTACAGAGCTATTGGACCAATCCATATTCATCTCCACCAGGGCTTTCTACCTTCTGGTGAAGCACTTGGTTTCGTTTTGCTGTCTTCAAGGGAACCTCCCAGTCTGCTGCATCAGATACAGCAAAGAAAAGCACAGCAACAGCTGCAAAATCGAGTTCAATCAGCTACCATCATTCAGGCAGCATGGAGAGGCTACCAAGTTCGAAGGGAGCTGGATGACATGAACAAAGCCTCTGCCAAGATTCAGGCAGCATGGAGAGGCTACCAAGTTCGAAGGCAGCTGGATGAAATAAGCAAAGCCTCTGTCAAGATTCAGGCAGCATGGAGAGGCTACCAAGTTCGAAGGGAGCTGGATGAAATGAACAAAGCTGCTGTCAAGATTCAGGCAGCTTATCGAAGCCATAGGACGCGGCAGCTGTTGCCCCTAGGGTTTTACAATTGCTTAAGAGATAAAAAGTTTGCCCTGGATGGAAAGAAGAAAGAAGAACAGGGAACTGTGTCAGTGCTTGGAGTGCCTGGCACCCTGGAGTGCAACATGTGGTGTGAGAAAATCTCCCATATTCCAGCTGCTACCATCAAAATTGAGAGTCCAGCAGGTTGTTGCAGGGACAGACACAGTCCGAGCTCTGATGTTATTCCTGGGGCAGCTGTGCACAGTCTAGAGGTTTATCTCACACCCATCAAAGCTGTGAACCATGAAGACAATTTATTTGCCTTTGAGATTCTCCCAGCTGTGACATCTGAACAGCAACTCCAGAATGCTGCAGACAAAATTCAGGCTGCAGGGAAAGAGCACCAAAGCACAGAAGAGCTTGATAAAATGGAAAGACCAGCTGAGAAAAAATCAGAGCAGAACCTGGTCCTAGCTTACAGTTGTCAACTCAAACAAAACTTTTGTGAAAATTTTCAAATTTCAGACACTTGCAGTATCACCGGAGTGCTGAAATGGACTTCGAAGCCCAAAGACAAGGTGCCATACCCCAAACAAAGCCTCACTGCACAGTTAGAAATGAAAAAGAGGAAAAAAGCATCTGATGCTAAGAGTGAAGCCCCATCCATCAGGAAGGTTGAAGTGCACACAGTGGTGAGAAACCTGCCAGCATCCCAGCGGTGCCCCATCTCCCTCCATGTGTCCAGTCCCAATGGAACTGTGGAGTGCTCTCAGAGGGAAATGGCTATGAGGCAGCTGCGTGGGCTGTATGCTGTCAGAGGACTCAGGGGCTCTCAACCTGCTTACATCTCCATCTGCATCAGCGTGGTGGAAGTGGGAAGGGAGGCAGGCGTGAGTGCAGCGTGGTAGGAAAGCACCAAGAAGATCTAGCACTGAAATATCTCTTTTCATCCTGTGCTCGCAAAGCCTGGCCACGGCTGAAGCTCCAATCCTGGTGCAGCTCTGGCAGCACCCACTCCGGGCTGCCATCAGCTCTTCACACAGGCCTCCTGCTGCTGCCTGCTGTGGTCACATCTCTCAAGACAAGCTTCAATTGCTGTCACAAGCCAGTCCAAGCAGAAGCGCAAGATTCGTGCATGCTTTCAGAGCTCGTTACTTAGCCTGGGGCACCCTTATGCAACGCTGCAGCTACAAGCCCATCGCGCTAGGAGTCAGCTTTCAAGCCACCGCACTGCTCTCTCGCAGCAGGCCCAATAAACGCCGTGCAGCAGCCGTGCCCGCGTGCTGCGCTGCCGCGTCCCGCCTGGGAGCGGAGCTGGAGCGGCGCGGAACGGAGGGAGCAAAGTGCGGAGCGGGCGGGGACAGGGGCCGGAGGGGAAGAGTCGCGTCCTGGGGCGGGGGGAGGAAGCGGTGAAAACGGCTGTCGTGTTGGGACGCTGCGGGAAAGGGTAGCGATGCTGGGCTGCGTGCCAGGCAGTGCGGACATCTGCGTTGCTCTGCCGCCCGCTGTCGGCTCCCGCTTCGCGGTGTTGGGGTCTTCAGTCGTACCCAGTGTTAGGGTCAGGGTCCCGGACACCTGTGGGAGAGTAAAGGTGAACCGTTGAGAAGGTTCAAGTTTCACCCCGATGCTTAAGGAATTTCATCATCTCAGGGATGGAGCATTCACACATTCCTTCCCTTCCACAAAGTGTTGGAGAGAACAGCTGGATAAAAGCTTGTAAGCAGGAGGCACCATCACCAAGCAAACACGAGAAAATGCAGCAGATTATTTCCCAGTGCCCGCCTCTGGTTGTCAGACAACTTTGGCAGCCAGAGATCAGACAGGAGAGAGATCAGAGATCAGACTGTCTCTTGCTCAACCCAGTCAGTGGGTGGAGGCAATGGTAAAGCAAACACATGGTTTTTCCCTCCAACAGCCTTCATGTAGTGTCTAAAAAGCCAGATGGTAGGTTATCCGCATTACCTCCAAGCAGTGGGCTTCTTGGGCTGCATCTCTCCATCCTGCAGTACAGCAGAGTCTAACAGAGAAGTGCCATATGCAGTCTCATCCTGTGACTAAGGTCAGCCCTGCAAGGTGAACATGGCAGGTCCACTGCACTAATAGAGGGCCTGCAGATTTCCTTTGTGTGGTTTGAAGATAGAAAAGCAAACCCACCAATTTACTGTAGGATCTGCCCAGGAGCAACAGATAAGGGAAGCCCACGGCAGCAGGAATCAGGAGGTAAGACACAAAAATAAAGTTTCTGGTATCATAGAATCCTGGAATACTAGAATGGCTTGGGTTGGAAGGGACCTCAAAGCCCACCCAGCCTCAACCTCATACCATGGGCAGGGCGGCCACCTACCAACTGAGACTGCCCAGGGCCTCATCCAGCCTGGCCCTGAATACCTCCAGGGGTAGGGCATCCACAATTTCTCTGGGCAGCCCATTCCATAGCAGCAACATGATTTTGAACTATGTTGACACAGCTTCTTTTTCACCAGAGGAAGCTGAATAACATGGTGAGGTTACAATGCCAGTTATCAGTCCTCTATACGGGCCTCAGATGAGGCAAATATGAATTAAACACAGACTGAGACAGCACCAAAATCTGTACCTTGCTAGAACAGCACACTTTCCATACAAAAGGCAGCAAAGCAAGGAAACTCCTCTTGGTTATGAATGTGCATTAGAGCATGAGGACAATCTCTAAGGATATGCAAATAGGAACCTTTTTGTTTGTGGAGAGCATATAGGAAAGCTGTGCCAGCACAGAGATAGAAAGCATCCATTGGAGCAGAAAGTGTTTTAGGTCTGGATGCAAACTGAAGTAATTTTGCACTGCTCTCCCTTGAACTCAAAAATTTCCTGGGGAAAAAAACAAAAAGGCAGGCAGAGATGTTGAAATGAGTAGGAATGCAGGAGATGAATCCAGAGATTTACGGCATGCTCTAAAGGAAGCTCAGCTCAGGGCATTGCTGCTGTTGCCACACATGGGGCCAGCAGCAGTGTGCACCCACAGTTGTGCTGGCCAGTGCTCCTTGTGAGCACTTTTGTGCTGCTCTATGTGTGTGTGTGATGAGTCAGAAATGGCCTGTCTTACCACCTATAATGTTTTGTCCCATCCCCCCCTTTTTTTTTCTTTCAAAATAGCCATTATACTATGAAAAATGAATAAACTAAGTTAGCTCTCAAGGGAGGCCACCTGATTTGTCAGACCTACAGATACAGCTGGAACAAACAATCTGTCAGGCATTTGGTGTGTTTTGGGGGCTGATTTGCAGCCTGGTTTGGTTCTGGTTTTGTTGTTTTTTTCCCAACAGTAATTGGCAGTATCACAAAATGCATTCCTCCCCCTTAAACACTTTGCCTCACATTGAATCCCAGACAGCGGTGGCTATGCCACCCGAATTCCACCCCAAGCACATCAGCCAGAGCTTAGGACCCAGAGCCCTGCTTTAGGCTTACGGGATGTGACAGCTGATGGAAAATCAATGAAGTGTGCTTTACGGAGCGTCATAATGATGCAAGATGAGGCTCAAAAGGTGCCTGCTTGCCTTTCAGGCTCATCTGTCTGCCTTAGGTTTTAACCAGATTGTTTTAGCCCCCTACTAGGATGAGATCAATTTGCCTATGAAAAGAAAGGACTATATTTAAAGGAAAAGCTACAGCCATGCCCATGCTGTTTCTGATGCTCTGTGCGCTGTGTTGGAGCCATTCAGGTAAGAGCAATTTCTGCTTCTTCCAAACTGAGCTACAGATGTTCCAGATTTTTTTCTGACATAGAGTTAGCTGCTCTTTGCTGGGATGAGGCAGATACAGCTTCTTCTGGTCCTCATCTAGCATTGCCAAACCAGCAAGGCAGCGCTGTATCAGCTGCTGACTTTGCATTGCAACCTCAGTGGCAATAGAGCTTTAAGATTTACGGTGCATGAGGGGGGTCACAGTTTGGAGTTAAGCAAAGAACCAAGGCTTTGCTCTCACTGCTGTTGCGGACAGACCTCCATCATAGGGAGCACAGTGAGATGCCTCAGATGAGCTGATGAGGTGCCCTGCCAGCCTTTTGCAGGGGGTGCATGTTTGTGTGGCTGAGCCCCTGATCAGCCCTCCCAGTTCCTGACGAGCTGCCACCAGCACGAACTGCAGCAAGGCAGGGAGCTTCTGGCGTAGGGGGAGAAGCATGGGGGCAAATGGTTCTCAGTTACTCGTCTTTGTGACAACCTAATACGGAGCTCCAGAAGTTTTGCCTTCTCTCTATTCTGTGTGATAAACTCAGGAAATCTAGCCTACTGCCCATGTCTCAGTTTTTCCAAAGGCAGCATTGCTTTGTTCAATGTTTTCTCTGAAGCTTTATCTAACTTAATCATCACAGGTGATCAAAAGAGCTCCTAGGCTATTTTCCCCCAGGTACATTTTCCTTCTCATTAAAGACTTGCACTTTTAAACTGTCCCCCTGCGTGTACTGAGCCTTACAAGAGCTCCAGTCTTGTTCTTTCTGCTCTTCTCCACAACACCTCCCAGGAGCGTTTGCCTCCAGCTATCACTCCAGTGGGGATGCTGGTCTTGATGCTGCAGGGCTGCCCCTCCTCAGCTGCTTGGAAGGGGCTGAACCCACTGTACTCTTGGCTGGCAAAGGGGGTAGACTCCCTGTGCACAGTGGGGCTGGCAAGGCATGTGTGGTGGAAGTGAGGCGGCAGCAGGGCAGAACTGCGGCTGGCAGTGTAGCTGTCCTGGCACAAAGATGCAGTACCAGATCCTTTTTCCCCTCTGGGGACTCTGAAGCAAGGTGAGATGTGCTCACCTTTTGGTACAGCATGCATGCCAAGGAAGAGGCAGAGTGTCAGTCGGACTGGCATTGAGGAGAGGTGTGAGGTATCAGTTCTGAGCTGCCCTCCCCTTCTATAGTACAGGGCAGTGCTGGGGGAGTCCCAGGCCTTGCAGGTGCAAACCCAGCACTGAATGCATTGCCCAGTTCCTCCTGCTGCCAGCTGAGCACCTTTCAGTTTTTTCTCCCCTGGTGCTGTAGCCTTTCCTCTCCCTGTCAGGGAGAACTCCTTAATTATTATTATTATTTTTTTTCTCTCTGTAATTTGCACCTATCTTTTTGCTAAACTCAGGAAAAGGGTTCAATTCCAAGAGCTGTGTAGGGGTTACTCTCATCTGGTTTACAGGCCCTGCAGCAAGAAAATCATGCAATCCATATCCATATGCTTGGGTGGGAAGTTTCTATTCCAAAAAGGTCATATAAACAGAATCACAGCATGAGTAGGATTGGCAGGGACCTCTGGGTCCATCTGGCCCAACTCTGATTCAGCAGGAATGTCCATAGCAGGTGCCCAGGCACATATCCAGACAAGTTTTGGAGTTCTCTAAGGAGACTCCATCACCTCTGTGAACAGCCTGTGGCAGTCCATCACCTGCATAGCACAGCAGGATCATGCTGTGTTCATGTTTGTCCCCATTGCTTTATGTCCTGTCACTGGCACCACTGAAAAGAGCCTGGCTCCAGAAGAAGAGCAAGTGAAAATCCATGGACCTGAAATGTCCGCAGTTTATTGCTGCTCTTTCTATCTATCAGTCAGGAATAGCCCCACAGCAACAACCATCTCTCCACAGTATCCCACAAGTATCTGGAGAACCTGGGGTGTCATTAGCCAGGATGATCTCCTTGGGCTGTGCCATCCCATACCTCCTGCATGCCCTTCTCTCTTCCAGATGTGGCTGCCCTTGGTTCAGTTGTGGAGAATGAGGACGCGCTCCTGAGACACTTATTTCAAGGCTATCAGAAATGGGTCCGCCCTGTGGAAAATTCCAACGACACCATCAAAGTCCTCTTTGGGTTAAAGATATCACAGCTTGTAGATGTGGTAAGCGCTGTGTCAGGCTCAATAAAGCATTGCTTCTCCTATGGAGACCCCTATGCCTTGCTGTGATGTTAGTTGTGCTGCTGGCCTTGGCCTCCTGACACAACATCCACTGGTCAAGCAACAAAGCACCACCTGGTGTAGTTCCAGGGTGGGACCTCCAGCTGCCCTAGGGCTCCTTCGTCTCCCAATAAACCTGAAGGCCCCCTCTTGTCTGCAGCTCCTGTCATTAAAGCCTTGTCACATCAGAAGCTGTCCCTGGGCCTGCATTTGCAAGATAGCAGGGTACAGGGCTGGGTATTGCTTGCTCCAGGCAAGGTCTATCCAGGCCAAAACCAGCAAGTGACTCAGCCACACAGCGGGGGCCTGGGGTGAACCAGACAACTTACGCATGAGCTCACCATCCCTTTCCCCTCCATCCGTGCAGTGCATGGTGGGGTTTGCACAGGGTGGGAGGGCCAGAGGGTGCCGGATGGCAGCAGTGCTCCTGTTGCTGCATAAGACAAGTTCTCCTTTTGTGCTTTCTTTATAAGCTTTGTCTTCTCCCTGCCCAGACTCAAGTCAGGTTGGGCAGCATGGGGATGTGAGCCGCCCCGCTTTCTGTCCTCGACCTGTTACCTCCTTGTGCCTCAGCACCTGACCCCATGGGCGCTAAGATGGGTCTTGCTGGATTGTATGTAGGGGTTGTTTCCTCTGGCTGTCCTGGTATTGCAGGCCTCTCTACCTTGTGTTGCCCTAGGATGAGAAGAACCAGCTGATGACGACCAACGTGTGGCTGAAGCAGGTAAATCAGATGGCTTCAGACCTTCCCATCCACTGCAAGGCTGTTGAGTACCTTGCATGAGGGGCCGCTGCAGCCTGCCACTCTGTCCATCACCATCTATGACAAACTCAGTGCCACATAGCCCCGCCTGAAGCTCTCCTCTCCCTTCAGCCAGTGCCTGAAGGGGAGTAGAGGCAGACAGTGAGCTTTCAGGATGCAAGGTAGCCTCTTTCTGGACTGCATCCCAGCTATGAGCCCAAGCCAGCTGTATTCTGGGGAAGCAACATCTCCTGGAACCATGACAGTTGTTCTGGGATGCTGCCTGTGTGCTGAGGGACTATCCTATCTCAGACTTAGAGGTCATCTGAGCACTGTGTCCTTTGCCCAAGCTAAGACAGTTTTCTTCTTCAACACAAGTAAAGAGAAAAAAAGGGTCAGCATGTTAAACCCCTCAAATTAAAATCTGTTGGATTCCTGCAAATTAGTCATAACTCTCTATCCTGCTTCTGGAAGTAATTTACACAAGAGAAGGAAAAGTGCAAGCTGAACTGTTAGATCTCCTTCATTCCTGAAGAACACTGTATTTGGTTTAGATTACATTGCATCAGTTTATTGACCTTGTGACAATTATTTTAAGTCTCTCAGCCATGTGAGCATCTATAGATGTGTCAGATGATCTTAGGGAGAGAACACAAAACCCAAGGCTGGCACAGAATGATGCTGTAAGGAGTAGTTCCCAGGTTTCTGGGCAGGTGGAGGAGAAGTGCAGCTCAGTTTGTGTCCTTAGTTTGATGTCTGCAGCCCTGCAGTGATTGAGCTCTGGGATGGTGTGGCATCCTGGATGCTGTATGGGTACTATGCAGTAAGATGGCCTCTCCCTTGGCTGTTTCCTCTATCCAGGACAAAAAGACTCCAGTGCCCTGGGATAGCCTTCATCCCTCTGCTGTGTGACATCTCCATAGATGTATTAATGCATTTGGGGCAGATCTGGTCAGACATTCGCATGGGGCACCTTTTTGTTCACAACACTGACCTGATTTGGAGCCTGTGTCACCATTCATGCTGTAGGAAATCAGTTCTGCTGAAGGTTCCTCTGAGCGTGTTGCAGGGCTAGAGCAATGTCACCATCTTCTCAGGTATGAGGAGGAGAAGAAAGAAACCATTTTTAAAGCATGGATAAAAGAAAGACTTAACCAGGAAGTTGCACTGTAGACATGCCATTCCTCTGCAGGTGTTTGGAAACCGAGCTCAGATTTTAGCCAGGGCAGCTCCCTAGGATAACTGAACACTGAGGTGTTCACACAGATTTCTGAGCTGTTCTTCCTAGCATTCCTTCTGAGCATTCTAAGGACCTTCAGATAGGCTGTCAAGGACCTAATGAAGTGCAAAGCAAAAAATAAGTAAGACATGGTCATTGGTTTTCACATATGCTGATATCCCCAGAATTATGGCACTAAATACCCATGGTCTGGCCCTGGTGTTCCATTCTAGGAGTCACACATTCCCATAGACTTAGTGTGAGCTGGTTTCACATGCAATTCAATACTTAGAATACTGTTAGAAATTGCAAGAACAACAGCTGAGAAAAGATGCCTAAAACTAAGCAGCATTAAAATATCTTTTTCTTTCGGTTAAAGAAAAATGAAGAATATCAAAACCCTTCCAAAGACTCAGAGCTCCTTACTCTGCAGGAGCTGGGGAGATCAGGGAAGGCTGATAGTCATCTTGAGTGTGTGAGGTGAAGGGGGAGTCTGAGATATCATTCCTATGCATGAACTTGGCTTTTCTTATATGAGCAAAGTCAGATCAAAGGATTTTCTTCTTTTATTTTTCTTTCTTTTTCCTCTCAAATCCAAGTTCTAAAGATGCTGGGAACTGACAGTGGGCTTCCTAGCAAATGTGGAAGGTGCAAAGGAGTTTCAGTAGTTGCTGAGATTTATCTGTTGTTGGGCAAGTTGTAGAATTAATTGCTAAGCCTGGACCCAATGTTTCTTGACTTGGCTTCACTGGCTTAACAACCTGAGCCCAGAGGCAGGAGTTTGGCAGAGCTGGTGGAATGGGAGAATAGTGGGGAATCTGGAAAGGCAAGATGCGGAGAAGAAAAGGCCCTTTGCATCTGCTGCTACAGTTCAAGTCAGCATAGCCCATGGGGAGATTCCCATTTTAAACTGTTCATCTTCAAATTCTTCTGCTCTAGTAAGGAGACACACAACTATTTGCCTTGCAGACATGAAAGAGCACTTTAGCTTGGAGAGAAATCAATGCAGGGCATGGGGGAGGGAGGACTGCTGCAGGTAGACAGAAACCCAGGCCTTCTGCCAGGCTTTAAAGAGCTCTACCAACCTTGCACCCATGCATGAACTTGGGTCCTATTGCTCCTTTGATCCTGGAGGAGGAAGGCACTCTCATCTCACCTGGGTCTCTGCTGAGGCTCTGGGTTGCTGTAAAGGTCTGAAATAACAAGTGGGTATGGTTGTGAAAGGCAGGTGGAACTGAAGCAGTAGGAGCTGACTATATGACAGAAGAAGAAGCAAAGAAAATTGCTTCTAGGTTTGTCCTTAGCTTACAAAGGAAATTGATCTAAGAAAGCTGATCCCTGAGGAGTTCCTAGTGTCGGAGATATGGAAAGTGCTTCATTATTTTCTTCATAATATTAGCCACAATCTGTAGATCTTGTTTCCACTTGCTGCCATTCTTTTGAGCAGCTAAAAAACCATATCATGAAAGAGAACAGAGAGATGCTTTTTCACTGCGCCTCAATTTCTGGGTTGTTGGTGCCACTTTGCTAGGCTCTCTCCAGGTAGCAAATGTTCAATGTGATGAAAATGGCCAGGACTTTTCTTGCTTTTTGCATTTTTTTAAACGTAAAAATAAAATTGTAACCAAATTCTTTGCAACATGATCATATTAATTTTCCTGTAATAGCATGCTGATCTTTCTCATGAAACAACAGGGACAGTGTAATTAAGCATGTAGAGATAGCTGTTTCAATGTAGACACTTCTATAAAAGATCTTACGCACTGACATTATTACCATTACTGAATTATAAAGTAGCTCAAGTCATCTTTGTCTCCCATCCAGTACTGTGAAATATCTATAGGAAAACAGACAGTACTCTCCACTAGTGCCTGCTTTGAGGCTGCCTGGATAGGCCTTTTTATGAGGCTCACCTCTGGCTGAAGGGGCAGTGCTTATGGGGATTAATGTCTCCCAGCCATGCCTGCATGACATCCTTCCTGCAGCTGCTTCATCATATGTCAAGCTCTGCCCTCAGTGCTGTACAATACAGAACCACAAGGCAGACGGTGGGGGAAGGAATGAGGCTGCTGGGAGCTGAGCAGGCAGAGGACTCTGTTGACTCTTTGCAGGAATGGATGGACCACAAGCTCTCCTGGAATCCAGAGGAATATGGTGGGATCACCGCTATCCGTGTCCCTTCTGAGTCCCTGTGGCTTCCCGACATTGTTCTGTTTGAAAAGTGAGTAGCATGTTCCTTACTGCAGGCTTAGGCTGTAGCATGGATGAGACACGCCAGCTATCAGAGAGCTTGCGTACACTCTTAGAAAGCTGCTTATGTAGGCAGTGTGAATGTTGGCTTTCCTTGCATGGGGCTGTGATGGGGTACCCCTGGGGCACTCTGATCTTGGTACTGTTTCTTTCTGTCTGACACACAGTGCTGATGGACGTTTTGAAGGGTCCCTGATGACCAAAGCCATAGTGAAATACAATGGAGTGGTGACCTGGACGCCACCAGCCAGCTACAAGAGCTCCTGCACGATGGATGTAACCTTCTTCCCCTTCGACAGGCAGAACTGCTCCATGAAATTTGGGTCATGGACATATGATGGCAGTATGGTGGACTTGATTCTAGTGGATGAAAATGTAGACAGGAAAGACTTCTTTGATAATGGGGAGTGGGAGATCTTAAATGCCAAAGGTATGAAAGGCAACAGGAAGGATGGGCTGTACTCTTACCCATTTGTCACTTACTTCTTTGTGCTGAGACGCCTTCCACTGTTCTACACTCTTTTCTTAATAATTCCCTGTCTAGGATTGTCTTTTCTAACTGTCCTGGTGTTTTACCTGCCCTCAGATGAAGGAGAAAAGCTCTCATTGTCCACTTCAGTTCTAGTCTCCCTCACTGTTTTCCTTTTAGTGATTGAGGAAATAATCCCTTCTTCTTCCAAAGTAATCCCTCTGATTGGTGAGTATTTACTGTTCATCATGATTTTTGTGACCCTCTCTATCATTGTGACTGTCTTTGTTATCAACGTCCACCACCGCTCCTCAGCAACCTACCATCCTATGGCTCCCTGGGTTAAAAGACTCTTCCTTCAGAAGCTGCCTCGGCTGCTCTGTATGAAGGGACATGTAGACCGTTATTCCTTCTCAGACACTGAGGAAAAGGAAACCACCTTGAAATCAAAACTCCCAGGAAAGCAGAAACACAAGCAAGCAAAAGATGGAGAGAAGATCGTGATTGCCTTTTTGGAAAAGGCAGCTGATTCCATTCGGTACATTTCCAGGCATGTTAAAAAGGAGCACTTCATCAGGCAGGTAGGTGAAGGGAGGGCAAAGAGACATCACAGTCTCCTAAGACAGCAGCAACTTCCAAGTTTTTCCTTTTCTGCATACTCTTCTGACTGCTTCTTCCTCTTGCATTCCTCTTGCGCATGTTCTGGGAGCTTTCCCTGCTGGGTGTGGGAAAGTATGTGACTTCAAGAACAGTGTTGTGTTATGGGACTCTCTGCTTTTCCCAGATGGAGGGGGCCATGGCTGGTTGTCCTGGAGAAATTTCTGTCTTGGGAGTATTTGAATAATCTGGTCTTGGTTAAGATGGGGACAGAAGCAAATCTAGAAAACCTGAGTTGCCACATGTTCTGAAAGTGTGTCTTTCACAACTGTTCTAGACAAGTTTTATGGCAATTACTAGGACTCAGTCTTGGCCTCCCAGCTATTCCATGTAGTGTAGGTGCCCTGTTTTGAGCTGAGGCCTTTGTGGCTTGCACTAACAGAAGTTCATTTCGGACAGTCTTCTCTTCCATCTTTCTCCGCCCAGCAATTCACCTGGCTATTAACATTGCAAATTTTAGAAGTTAATTAAGTAATGTGTCCATAAACAGTGCACCTGACATAAAGGTAGGATAGCCAAGCAAGGCAACCAGCAGCGTATGGAAAGAGAAGAAGTTTTCTTAGCACGCTCCTAGCAAAGGCCAGGGCTTTGTTTCAATTTTATTGATGATGTCACAGTGTGACGAACAGTAAACCAAATGTGCAGTATGTGAGCATGTACTGTCCGTGACTGAAGTCTTCTCTTTGAGGCTTGAGTTACTAAAAAAAAATAAAAGTTCCCTGAATCTGTTTTATAAACAGTGCTTCCATTTATTCAGGGTTGTGCCAGTACACACAGTGCAGAGCCTCCCTCCTAAATGCATGCAGCATGAGCCAGCAGAGCACTTAAGCAAACACAAGCTTGTGGGACCACTTGTACTGCAAGTAACATCTGCGTCAGAGTGCTTTGCTAGAGCCAGCTCCTAGTCCTCCAAGGGAAATGCAGTTATGTTAAAAGAAACCTAGATCATTACAAAGACATCCTCAGGCTTCAGCCTGTAAGTTTTTACCTATGCACTTAGCTAAAAGCTTTTGCACAGCCTGAAAGAAGTCTGATTATCACGTGCTTATACCATGAAAATGCTCTGGTGTTTTGAGAAACTGGCAGGTGTGGCTCCTGAAAAGCTGACCCATGTTGGTTTCAGTCTATGACACGCTGCAATCTTCTGATTTTTAAAAGCAGATTTTTTGGAGTTGAAATATATTTAGTAATACCAACAATGTACTGGCCTCCTTGCTGTTTCTATTTGCTTTTCCTCTCTCCTTCCCAGGTTGTCCAAGACTGGAAATTTGTAGCTCAAGTCCTGGATCGGATCTTCCTGTGGTTATTCCTGGTGGTGTCTGTGATGGGTTCAGTTCTCATCTTCACCCCTGCGTTACAGATGTGGCTGAATAGCACTTTGTAGAAAATGCCTTTGAGACTGGTTTCTGTTCTTCAGGATGGGAAGCAGTGCAAAAGCAAGAGAAGATGATGTTAGCAGCAGGCATTGGTTACTACTTCCTTCATGTGGCTCTGACTGTTACAGCCTTGGTGGAGACTGGAGAAGGGCTCAGTGAAAAACTGAATCCAAAAGTGAATTGGGGATGCATAAATGAGTTATAAGTATTTTACTAGTAGTTTGGCTATAATGCAGCATGAGCCAGGATTATTAGTTATACTTGGGGATAGTAGTTCTGGCACAACCATTATGTTTTACGAGCAGATGTGTCAGTTAAAATACTACTTAATAAATGAAATTAGAGTGTAGTAGCAACATAGTGCTCATTTCTCAGTGCACAGTAGCAAGTCAGTATTCAGTTTAACTACATTACCAAGTAAAAACCACGAAGTCCTTATAGATAGCTTTCTACATGTGTCAGAACTGGCAATTATATAGCATGTGCATTAGAAAAAAAGTGTGAACAACATTTAGATGGGATACCCAAAACCTCTACTCTGTGGCCTTCCTTCAGGACCAGCTCAAACATGGCAGAACTTAGAGCTCTGCCCACCCACTACCATCCTCTACAGCATGCACATTTTGTCTCTCCTGTTGGCCATCAGGAAGTTCCATTATTATAATTCTATATAATATTCATTTTTGCCTCACATTGTGAAAGATAATTAAAGGCTGAACAAGTGAGGGTTTTTCCCTTGCTCCTCCACATTTGGAAACTATGATTCCCACACCTACATGTTCACAGGACTGGAAGATCACCTGGAGTACATCCGCTGAAGGAACACAACCATGCTGCTCCAAGAGGCAACAAAAATCTTCCTAAGTAATTCAGTTGGAGGAGATACAAGATCACCTGTAGCAAATGAAACTTGTCACTGGTGCAGAAGTGTTTTTCTCTTGAGAGCTGTGGGTGTGTTGGCTGCCAGAAGGGTACATCTTTGGTGTTGGCTTGTCCATGTTTCTCAGTAAATTCAGAATTTCATTGCTTTGGTGCATTTAAATGGAATCCTTCTGCATTATTAGAACAGAAAATGCACAGGTGAGGGTCTCTCTACATTCCCTGGGACAAAGCGCTGCCATCACTACATCCTTTTGAAAACTTCTCTCAGAAGTTGCAGGCATTTTTGAGGCTAACAAGTGGTTGGAGATTCAATTTTTGACAATATAAATGTAAATCTAGTTGCTAAAGCTTTAACTAACCTTGAAACTTTCTCTCTAAGGATGGAGGTCAGAAGGTGTTTAAAATACCCAAAGTTATTGTTGTGGGTGTATGACTTGTGCACACCAGACCTCTGTGAGTTCAGGTCATCCCATCTTGTTTTGTCACTGAAGTTCACTTGGGTAAACATAATCAATAAAATTGTGTTTAGTAAATGATTCTCAGAAGTGAGAATGCTCTTATATTGGTCTGAAGGTGTTCTTAACTTTTTGCTTTGCCAGTTCAGTTTCTAGCCCACTTTAAAAAAAAAATACTGGTTTCAAATCTATCCAAATACATAATTTTGCTTGTTTTTGGAAAGTACTCATAACTTTTTACCTGTGTGCATGAGTTTGAGGAAGCAGCTTTCAGAGTTGGCTATTATATTGCAGGATAACAGGACAGATCCATTTAGTTTAGCATATTCAGACAGATGTCTCAGCATAGACACTGGTATATAGATCTCACACATTAACCTGCTCTTCTTTCCATGCATTGTTCAAATCATTTTGTTACCTTGTCCAGTACAGTGAAATATCCATAAGAAAACCTATTTCCAGCAGTCAAAGACTCTTGAAATCAAACAGTGATGGATTTCCCAATGACTGTTAGTGCCAAGGGGCTGCCTATTAGAAATGGTGGATGACAGAATTCTCTTCTGTGTGAGTGCTTCAGGTGCTCAGCTGGCAGATGATCCTGTCCTCACCTTGCTTCAATTTAGTTTCCAACCTGCAGGCAGCAGACCTCTTTGTATTATGTGACCATATGAGACTTCAAGCTGCTTTTTCCTGTAATGTTCGGGAGGGCTCAGGTGCATCTACTGCGAGAAGTGTGAGTGCTGCACAATCCTCTTGGCTTTTGACCTCTGGTGCTCCCAGCACAGCCCCCAGAACTGCTACATTTTTAGTCTCTTTGCCTATTATTCATGCTGACTGTTCCTGAGCTTCCCTGAATCTTATTCCCTCAGGCCCAGAGATGCATTCAGCACATCTCACTAAAAAACACAATGTGAAAGGACATCTGTGCAGCACTCCTCCCGCTGGGTTCCTTCCTTCTGCTCCATGTGCCTGTGGATGATGACCTTTCAAATTTAAAATCTTAAAAGAAAACCCAGCCTTCTGCCTTCTCTCCTCAAAGTGTGACATCTTGATACCTGACTCTGGTTTGCCAGGACCTGGTTCTGCATGGCAGGACCATGTGTATCTTCCATCCACCAGGAGACAAACACGCTGAACTCCTCTGGGCCTTTTAGTGAGGGAGAGGTGGAAGGATGGTCTCCCTTGGGAAGAGAATGCGATGAGCTGGCTGAGCTATCTAATTGCTTCTGGAAACAGTATTTTTAAAATAAATTCACAGATGTGAACACTCTCAGGGAAAGAAAGTTGATCACCACTGGTGGTATGCTTACTGGTGGAATATATTTAATCAGCCCTGCAGCTCACCTTCAGCCATTCTATTATTTTCACTGTCTGTATGGCCACAGGTTCAACAGCAAATGCTGGAAATCAGATGCCTTTCCTGTCAAAACAAAACATTCAGGCACAGAATGCAGCTTTCCTCTTCAAATTCTCTTTCTTTCCCCTTCCATTCTTGCTGATTGATGAGCTAGCACAGCAAAGATCATTTGATAACATATCTTAACTCATTCTACAGTGGGCAAAATGCAAGCTCTTCAGGTGTGTTCCAGGAGTAACATTTCATTAGCAGGTGGATAAAATAAACAATGGTGTATGTTCGTACATCTGTCTGATTGTTGCTACACTATTATGCAATATTCAGGCAGACTATAAAAAAAATTTTCTTCTAGAGAAGAGTGGCTACATACTTGAAGTACATATTCTTGTCGTGCCACTGTTGCCTCTGCCTTATATTTCAGCTCCACTGTCTTTAATATGAGCAGAAAAAAAATAAAAGGCCAATCAGGGATTTCAGAATGATTCTCTTCTGCCGAGAAACCGTGATGTCTGAAATAAAGACTGGTACATGGCACACTCTGAAAACATTGTACTGATACTGCACAGTTAGAGTTAAGACAGCCTATAACAGGGAAAACCTTTTTACTCTTGAAGCTATTGGTTGGAATAGCAATGATGCCCTTTAAAAAGGTATAAAACCAACAGGGACCAAAATAAGCAAAGGGCCTGAGGGTGAACTGTCCACATAGTTTAGAAACCACATTAGGTGCACAACTACCAAGTGTTTCAGGATTAAGCTTGTTACCTGGTTACCCAAGGGAAACTCCAGCCCCAGAGAATCCCTACTGTTACAAAACAGGTTGCACACCCAGGACTGTTCTGACAGGAGCTTCTGCAGAGCTGTTTGGATCAAAGTGCCCACCTTTGCATAGGATTCATGATAATCTGCCTTCTTCTGACATGGTATGTGTAATCTAATTTGGTCCTGATTTTAAAAACAGATAAGATCAGTGCTGCCCATCCAGTTCTATCTGTGATGGGTAGCTGCCCAGGGACAAATGCTTCCCAAGTGGGCTTATAACTGAACCTGAGCAAGAAAGTATTTTCAGAGCAGCCTCTGTGAACTGGGACCACAGTCAGGCTGATGTAAGGAATGTGGTTTGCATGTCCTCCTGGAGCTGACCACGGATTTTAATATTCAGTACTGGGAAGTAAAAGGGAATTTGGTCACAAATATGATGGATAAAATGGTTTTTAAAGATTTTGAGGTATGTAGATCTCAAACGTATATGCTTTACATTTTAATCATGGATGCCTCAGGTCTTTTCTGCTTTTACGTATTGCATCCAGGTTATTCCCCTCTGGTGCCCCTAAGATCATAGAATCACACAGTCATTTAAGGTTGTAAAAGACCTCTAAATCCACCAAGTCCCGCCATCAGTGAATCACCACAATGCCCACTAATCACATTCCTCATTGCCACATCCACGTGGTTCGTGAACACCTCCAAGGAAGCTGACTCTACCACCTCGCTGGGCAGCCTGTGCCACTGCAGCACCGCTTTTCTGAGTTTTTCCTAACATCCAACTTGCACCTCCCTTGGTACAGCTTGAGGCCATTCCTTCCCATTCTGTTGCTGTTACTGGGGAGAAGAGGCTGACGCCCTCATTTCCACAGTCTCCTTTCAGAGCAATAAGGTCTTCTCTCAGCCTCCTCTTCTCCAGACTGAACAATTCCAGCTGCCCATAAGACTTGTGCTCCAGAACCCTCACAGCTTTGTTGCCCCTCTCTGGACACACTCCAGGGCCTTAGTGCCTTTTTTTGTAGTGAGAAACCCAAAGCTGAATACAGTACTCAAGGTACAGCCTCACCAGTGCTGTGAGCAGAGGGATGATCACTTTCCTGCTCCTTCTGGCTATACTATTTCTGATACAAGCCAGGATCCCATTGGCCTTCTTGGCCATCTGGGCACACTGCTGGCTCATGGTCAACCAGCTATAAAATAATACCCTCAGGTCCTTTTCCGAAAGGCTGCTCCAAACAATGTTAGCAAGACTGTGCACTGCAATGTATGAAGCAGGTTTGTCATTAGTGGGAAGACCGATAGCTTAAGACTGATTGGGCTTCAAGCATAAAACTAAATACATGTGCTGCTGATCTCAGATCCTCATTTGTGTACATGTGTTGTAGAAGATGGGGATTGTATAAACATTACAGAGTCAAGGGATTGGTTTGATTGTACTTTTATTTGGATTTTTGCCTGCCTTGTCCCAAAAGCACAGTAAAGAGTATTGATCCAGACAGGTAGGACTGTGGTACCTCAACTAAGCACCATGCTGAAGTCTAACATTGTACAAGGGGTGAAAGAGGAAATATAAGAGTTGTGATGAGGAAAGAAAAGTACGACTTTTGTTCTCTTAGCACAAATCACTCACAATGGCCCCCTGAACTGAAACCATGGAAGAAACTCAATAATTTCTGCCCGCTACAGTGATTCTTGGTGCAATTGCTACTGAAGATCTAATTGAGAAGACAGACAGGTACTCTATAAATCTCAGCCTCTCTGCCTTAGAAAGACCAAAATTTCATTTCACATTTTCAGTACCTTTCTCATTCTGCCTTGGATTATTGCTTGCTTCCCTTCTCACCTTCCCACTGAGGCTAGATGCTGAGGGACGGTGTAAGAGGAAAGAAACACAGGGGACAGTTCCAAACTGAAAATGGAATACAAACATACGTGGAAAAAAAGCAGTGACTCAAGTTATGTATCTGCTATTAGTGGCTGGACAAATAATCCAGCAGTCCCAAACACACAAAGGATTATAAACACCCAGAGAAATACTCTGTCAATCACCATAGCTACGTATTTCCAATCATCTTCCACCTGTAAGAGAAAAAAAAAAAGGATAGATTACATATAATGTAACATATAATTGTGAGTTAGCATTTAATGGTAAAAAATGTCCCTTCTTTTTTTGAACAAGGAAGAACGTACATCCTGGCAGAAACACTGCCTGTGGTGTTTATAGCTATTGCAGTTTTCAGGTGTCTTAAGAGGGGTCTATTTTCTTAACAGTATTTATAACTTCTGGGTGAGAACATTAAACGTTCTCCTAATCTTCTACTGATTTTTTTTCCTGAGAATTCTAGACGGTTGGCAAAATATGGCTGTGTCTGACAACAGCAAATAGAATGAGATCATGTGATGGGTGTAGATTGAGGTGATGTGGCAGGCGGCTGAGTCATCACAGCTGCCCATGGCTGGATCCTGCCAAAGGATCTGGTCTGGCTGCCCTCATACGAGACAGCCTACTGCTCTGGCATGATTGGCTGCACTGCCACTCCAGTTAAACTCACTGCCTCCAGTGAAATGGACAGCTGAGCACATGAGCGTTAGAAAAGCAAACATCCTGAGTAACCAAAGCTGTGCCATGTGCTGAGCAGGCTAGAGTGAATGTAAGTCTCAGAGATATGCCTTAGAACAACTTTCAATGAAGTCACTGTCCTTTAAACCATGCCTGTGCATGAGGATCACTGCATCAAAGAGCACTCACTCACATAAAACCAGTGAGTGGTAAAGAGTTCCCTGCTTAAGAGTTCTCTCCACTTGTTTTCCTCCTTTCCTTGCTGTAGTTCTTCTGAAAGGACATACAGCATGAACTCTAGCTACAGTTGTGCTTCCACAATTTTCCTAAGTTCTTCCACAATCTCCAGAGATATTCAAGGTCTTTCTGGTTGCTTGTCTCTGTGACCTAATGTAGGGAACCTGATTTAGCAGGGGGTTGGACTGAATGATCTCCAAAGATTCCTTTCAACCCCAACAGATCTGTCATTTTTAAAGGGCTTCTATTCATACGGGATATGTCCATAATAGCATGCACATAGCTCTATACATCTGAACAAAGCAGAAGCCTCTAGAATAATTTTCTCTGTGCTCACTGGAGAAAAAAAAAAGATGTTATTTCCCAAGAGAAAGTATTTTTCCCACACGAAAAGTCCTGTTTCCAATCCTTGGTGCACTGCGAAAGATGAGATGCAGAGCTGCGGATGCACACACCAGACTAGGAATACAATTGCATGCAGCAGAAGAGGTCTGCAAAATGTGAATCGGCGTGACTGGAAACGAAAGACTTATCATGAGCTGCATAATCAAAGTGGCACATTATTTGAACTGCTTCACACAAAGTCTCCTCTTATTTGGAATGCACTGAAGAAATCAGCTGAATGCAGTAAGGGTATATTTTCTGGTGCTGTGGCACTGAAAGCAGGGCTGAAATGCTGGGATGAAGCAAAGCATTAGGGGCATAGTTACTAAGCAGTACTCAAGTTCAATCCCTGCCTTACTCTGTACTGCTGGACTCCTTTCCTTTTCTTTGGTCTTATCCTATGAAGCCTGTCACCAGGCCTTAGCTATATTATTCAAAGTTATGTACTTTGTTTTCAGATGAATTTTCTGCAGGACATTAAAAAAAGGTGGGGGGAAGGGGGGAGAAAGGAGGGAAGGAATGAATTTTGGGGTTGCATTGAAATTGTATAAATTGGTGCTAGTTTCAACCAAATATTTGGATCAAAAGAATATCTCTCAATAATTATCTTGCAAAATATTAGCTTTTTTTGATAGAAATACAGTAGCTTTTCATTTTGAAATGGAGTTTGTCTTCTCATAGCGTCTAAAAAGCATCAGCATTTAAAGTTAGAGCAAAAGTAAATGTTTCATTAGGATCAAAACTCTTTAAAAAAAAATGTCTTGAAGTGTCAGAGAGTTTTAATTCCTTGTGAGGCCTTGGCAAGTGCTTATGTAAGATAATCTTTATTGGAGATGCTTTTAGTTCTGTGTTTACTCCGAAGAATTGGCTCTTGCATTCTTAAGATTCCAATGTACATCATTTTCTATGACAGCAATCCTAGCTAGGATGAAAGATTTATAGCCTCACACAAGCTAATCTATTAGTTCAAATAACAATTCTCTCTCTTTTTTTTTTTTAAATTAAAAAAAAGTCTTTTTGTATGTGTGTGGGTGTGTGTGATCTTATTCATCTGTTGTCTGTTTTTGTTTATCTGCCTCCCCCAAACTCAAAACTTTTATTTCAAAATTGGAAATAATGTCTTGCTGAAGGCACAGTGAGTCAAACCACTGCAAAAATATAAAAAATTGTCAGAAAACACCATAATGAAACACATACTGAAACCCTACATCAAAGTTTTTTACCTTGCTTGCTATTCAACCAAGAAATGCTGCAAGTGTAACCTTGTGCCCACCTTGGTGGCTACCTCCCTTACCTCTTTGGTTTCATTTTGAGACTTCATGTTCTCTGCAATGAACTGAACATTGTTGATGACATCTTTCACTTCTGGGGAGTACTCTGTGTGCTCTGCCATCCATTTCAATGACTGATGACTCAGTCGACTTCTTTTGATTGAGGTGAGTTCGGCTGCTTTATCACAGTAACAACACCGGTGCTCCTTATGTAATTTGTTATCTTTGTGTTTGCTGTGCTTTGCTTTGCCTGAAGTTTTGGCTGATCCTTTCTTGCTCTCTTTGGAGATGTTTTTTTTCTCCTGTTCTAGAGGCCGCTGCATCAACAGAACCTTGGGGAGCAGGCTAAGAAAGACAGTTTTTACCCATTTGGGCATTGTGTGTGTAGTTGGAGTTCTGTAATGTATATTTAGGACAAACACAGTGATGACGATGGAGAGAGTCACAAATATCATTGTGAAGAGCAAATATTCACCCACAAGAGGTATTACTAAAGAGGTAGATGGAATTGTTTCTGTGATCACTAGTAAAAATACAGTCAAAGAAAGCAGCACAGAGATGCAAAGAGTCACCTTCTCACCACAGTCAGATGGCAGGTAAAAAACTAGCACAGTCAGGAATGAGATGAAGAGGCAGGGAATAATCAAATTTATGGTGTAGAACATTGGTAACCTTCGAATATAAAATGAATATGTTATATCTGTGTAGATCTCTTCACAGCAGTTATATTTGATGTCATGTTTGTAGCCAGAAGCATCAACTATTTCCCACTCGCTATTTTCCCAAAATTCATTCATATCTACTTTGGAGCCAATGATCAGAAGATCAATTTTGGCTTTGTCGTAAGTCCATGAGCCAAATTTCAAGGAACAGTTCTGATGATCAAATGGGAAAAAAGTAATATCCATGGGACAGGAGCTTTTAAATATAGCTGGGGGAGTCCAGGTGATCATTCCATCGTAGCGAAGAAGGGCTTTGGTCTTGCCTTCAACCTGAAAATCTCCCACAGCACTAGAAAGACAAAAGAGGCATAGAGAAGAAAATTCTGTGAGAGGAAAACAATGTATTTTATGGATACAGAAAGAAGATATTTTTCAGAGAAAGGGTGAAATGGAGAAGTGTTTATCATACTTATTGTATAGGACAATATCTGGTTTCCAGATTTTATCTGCTGGTACCCGAACAAATTCAATTCCATCATATTCTCTGGGATCCCATCGCAATTTGTAGTCATTCCAAATCTAAGAGAAGAAGGATAGGAAGTATAAACATTGTGTTATCAGCAAGTATCTCCCTCATAGATCTTCCTCACAAATGAGAGGTTACGATAGAGACTGGAAAAGAATCATGAGTAGAAGGGGACAGTGATCTGAAAGACATCAAATCACAAGCTGGAGAAACATGTGACATAGGTGAGCATTGCTCACATTGTCTTGCCATCTCTTGCTCTGTGAGGGGCTATGATAACAACAGCTATTAGCTGCTGACATGCAGATCTCTCTGGCTTGCTACCTCAGTGTATAGCAGTGCTACTCTGCACTGCAAGCAAGAAGCATGGTCCTTGCTGCTGCCCTTGTTGGAGTGGGTCCTGAAGGCTAAAGGAGACCAACATCAAAGGAGACAAACATCCTAAAGGATGTGCTTGTGCATAGGACGTGCTTGTGCATAGTGTCAGGTTGGTGTGGCTGGGAAACAGGCTTTACAGGGGCAGTGAATTATGAGCTCATCATTGCTCTCTAGTGACTTATCACTGGGCTACGGTCCAAGTTCTCACAGCCTACTCTGAAGATCCTGGTCTTAAGTACCATAGCTTCTTAAGAAAACTTTGTGTGGATCACAAACAGGGTCTGGAGGAAACTGTTTTGGTGAAAGACAGCTTGTTTCTCTCAGCAGTTAAGATTTTGTAGGAATCTTTGCTTATGTATATGTGCTTAAACCATCAGGTGAAGTTGAGGCATGTTCTTTTTGATAAGAAATGTTTTCACTGGAACCGTCAGTATGGAGATGATTTAAGATCACAGAGTTGCATATTTAATCACTCTTAAAGGGTACATTCAACTAAATTTACTAGTGATAAACCAGTGAAAATGAAAACTCAGAACAGAAGAAAGATGGGATATATAGCTTCTCAGAAAAAAAAAAGAAGAAGAAATTACTTATTCAAATTTTGCTAATGTAGTGTCTCCTAATTTGTACCTCTAAAACCATATTACAAACCACTTATTATATAGAGCTAACATTCCATCACATTAATGCAAAGTATATGAGAAATGCAATGCAGTCACTTACGTGTCTTAGCCACAAATTGGTTTCCATAATCTGATTGACTTCATCCTAGAAAGAAACACAGACATGCACCTCTTCACTCATATATCATTTATAGTATGCTGAGATGGCCGTAGTCTTATTCTGATAAAAATAGAAACCAGAATTCCACATTAACTGACATCAGCTATTTTCTGTCTGTTGTCAGTGGCACTTGGGTAGATGATAAAGATAACCGGACAGAGCAGGGCTATTTTCAGGGTGGGGGTTACAAGTTGTATACAGACAACAGCAGCTCTACCAAAAAAATTTTAAGGCTCTGCCTTAAAAATCATGCCCCACACATGTGTGGAAGAGAGCTGCATTTGCCAGAGGCCTGAGTGTATGAAGGACAACAAACTTACTGATCAGCTGCTCAGATCAGTGTCAGAGGAATAAGGTTCTACTGGTGTCTACGTGTTTTGTTTGGCTCAGTTTTTAAAATGCTCTATTTACATAGTAAAGTACTGGACGAAATTCAAGGAAAACAACATCTGCAGTATGTTCTTGCATTTCCATGCAAATGTTCTGTAGCAGATGAACTAAACCTGCACTAAGTTAAATCACTGCTGCAACGAAAACTTATTTTTAGAGTCACTTACTGCTGTTGTCAACCAGAAGTGAATCATAAGGGTGCTGCAAAAAGCACAAAAATAAAAGATGGGATCCTGTTCTAAGTAGTCTTCAGTCTAAAAGTGTTTGGAAAGATACAGGTTATAAGTATATATGAAGGCAGCCTATCATTTCCAATGAAAATATCTGTGAGAATATTGTAAACATGTGATGTCAAAAATGTTAAAATACTTACAGACCGAAGACTACAGAAAATGCAGAGAATTCTTATCACTGAGTACGTAGGACTAAGCATCAAGATAGTTTTGAAAGCCTTGTTGAGCTCTTGTCCAATGGGCAAGGTAACTAGGCCCTTCCCAAACCCATGACTTGACAAAATCCAAATGGACCCACAGGAGAACTAGGCTGCATGTTACACAACACAAATACAATCCCATGTCCTTGGGGTAGGCAAGCCCTGTGACTGTGAACATTTGGTACTGCTGCTCCAGATGCCAGGGGCTGCTGCCCAGAGCAAAGGGATTTGACATGATAGAGATAGCCAATGAATCTGTACAATCTGAACCACTTGTATGAGGAGTTGAAGTGACCTGGCTGACAGAATGGCAAACATCTCACTGTGTACACATAGGCATAGACACGATAACATCAGCTGTGAGGGCTGTATGTGCAGACATCATGAGTATGTCTGCTGTTGGAACACTTTCTGTGTTTTACAGTCATGCCCAAATCTCTTCTGTAGTCAATCTTACCACATTTGTAAGCTGGGTAATGGCCAATTCAAAATGCACTGTGACAGGATCAGATACATTTTCCACCGGCCTGATGAACTGGTTGTAGTGGGAGAAGAGTTTGTGAAATAGCCGTTCCTCTGACTCGCAGGCTGTGGTGTCTGCATTGGTAAAGATAAATAACAAGTACTTCAGAGGTAAGGAAGAGGGAAAGTAGGTGCTAAATAACATGCTGCTCCAGTCTTTAGTTCTGTGTATCGAGATACAGAAGCTTACTTCTGCTCTGAAGGATGTCTGTTTGTTAAGTTCGGTGAGAAAAAAAATGGAGGCTTTGTAAAAGAGAACAGCTCTTTGGGAACAAGCACATCCGACAGAGCTGGAACTCCCAGTTAGTATGGGACAGATTAGAGAGCCTGGCAGGAAAAAGGCATAGGGCAGGCCCTGAATTGCCTCACTGCAGACACAATAAATGTGCTCTGAATCCGTTACATACACCCCAAGTCTGATACAGTCATTTTCCTAGTGCTTAAAACAAAAGACTTTGATTTTAAAAGGAAAGATTAAATCACGTGGTTTCTGGCCTGTGATCACACAGATGTCCTGCAGGAAGATGCTTACTCTAAAAAACACTATTTTCATGTTTGGGCCACTCTTTCCTTGGTTGTGAACCTTCTGCATTAACAAAGCATGCTCAGATTCAGAGGATTATCATGATTTAAAGCTGAAACTTTGGTTATTGCTGATTTCATTTGTGAGTGAGTATGCCAGTAGAACTTGTATGATTTGGCATTTTGTTCCATCCTTTTTGCAACTCCTAGAGAAGAGACATGAATGTCTGCAGAATTTGGATGCTTGAATATTGTGTTTTGTGCCACTTAAAAAGGAAATTGCAGTTTCCTTTTCAGATCTCCTTAGAGCCATCCATCAGGCTGTGAGTAGAAGTCCCCTGTTGTGGGAACACGGGTTTCCTGCCATAGTCTCACATCTAAAGCCAATGAGTCTAAAATCATGTTTGGTCTGAATTTTTCCTGCTGGCTTAGTAACAGACTTAAAGTAACAGAAGCAGGGAAATCTTAGGCCTCTCATTTTTATACTCCAGTTGCAGATGCTCATCCTTTTGGTGTTGCTTTAAGACAATGACTTTGTGCTCTGCTAATATAAATGCTGTAACTCAGAAATGTCCTGGTCCTGCAGGCATTCAGAAAAGGTATAATGACTTAAAAGCAGGAATCCTGCTGAAACTCAGTGAGATGCATGGAAATTACTGCACCAGAAACAGATCACAAACAGCAGTGAATGAAATGCATCGAGTTCCCACTTTTGGAGGTGTGAGCACAGAATGTGCACACCTGCAGTGTGCATTATTAAAGCAGTGGCAAAATTCAAAATTCAAGCATCGAGCAAAATTGTGAGAGCTTCTCTATCATTGTCATTCTTGCTAGAAACAGTTCCTCAATTAGTTCTCAGAATAAAATGAAGAATTTTAGCTATGAAAACTAATATTGTTGTAGCTCTCTCAAAATACTGTTGAAATCTTACAAGTTTCAAGTTAGGAATAGACAATAGAAGCTTTAAATTGAATTCTAGAATCAGAAACAGAGGCTAGAAAATACTTTACAAGACTAACATCAAAGACAGCCTACCTGTAATTAAGAATGTGAGCATGAATGCCCACGCACCAAAAGCAGGGAGACACCAACATAGCCGCCTCTTGGGATGCATCTCCAGAAGCAGAACAGACCTTTTGAGAAGAGAGGTTTGAGGTAAGCCAGGAACTGAAAGCAAGAAGACACTGGAGCCCCTTGGTAAAAGAGGTACAAAGATGGACTTCAGTTTTGCATTTGCAGCAAACTCTGCAGCCTGCTAAGCAGAGCAAAGCCTGGCAGAGTTGCTTCCACAGTCACCAGAAGAGAAGAGCTTATGCTGTGCGGAGAGATGGGAGCGGGAGCATCCTATCAGGTGACTTTCACATTTCCAGGCACCCGCACCCTTGCCTCTGGGGGAATGTGTGAGAGTGCAGGAGGAGGAAAGGCAAGAGGCAGGGTGGCCGTGGCTGTGGAGTGGGGGAGGAATTCTCCTGGCTCTCCACGTGCTGAGTAAAACACGCTTACTCAAAAGCATCTGTTTTAACTATTGCTTGGTCCTCACCAGATTGAGTCTGTCAAAATATTCAGGGATGAAACAACTTCACTTTTCTTGCCAAAGACTGATTCTGCAGCAGGAGGAATGGATATATGCATCTAACAGAAAAGATATCTGAGCCCTGAAATAGGAAAAGCATCACGCGCTGGAATTGCTTGACAGTATTCCAGGCAAATAAATATAAAGGCAAATAGATTTATTGTGGGCATCTGACGGGAACAACCAAGTGTGCTGAATTCTCTCCTGACAGACAAGCCAGCTCACAAAATCCATTTTCCTATGATTTTTTTGTGTCTGTGAGCATGTGCTCAGACAGAGAATCTCCTTTATGTGTGCTCAGTACAGCATAAACACATCTAAGCAAAGGGATGAATGCTTCGACCAAAACAGAGCTGCTCCTAATTTCCCATCGTTACAGTGTTTTATAAGCATGGGAATAAAAGAAAAGCCATGAAAGGAAAAAAAGATGCCCTTTTTGTTGCACAACACAGAGGCAATGCTGCAGCTTGGGAGGTGAAATCAAAATACCTTCTATCCAAGTTGTAAAAATACGAGTAGAAGGGAATAGGTCTGCATGGAAGAAAGAGACTTAAGAATGAGTTGTCTGAATAGAACTGATACTGGAAGTGAACAAATTTGCCCATGGCAAATTTTGAGGGATGAAAAGACAGTCTTGGAGGTTACTAGCAGAAAACCTACTCCTAAGTGTACTGGATCCAGTTTGGTGCTGCTGCTGCTGGAGCTAAGTTTGAGCTGAGATTTCCCTCAGGAGAAAACCGACAAAGTAAGGAGAATCACACCGTAGGAACATTTTGGTGCCGGGAACTAGCCTGACCTCTCAAAAGCAGGAGCAAACTAAACGCGATTTTAAGATAAGGAGGTGCAGTGAGGCACGGCTATGAAGCATCTCCAAGCTGAAGTTAGATATGAATTCTTCTGTGAAGTAGTTAAAGATGAAAGTAAGGGTTTCAGCATAGAGATTTTATCCTGCACATTTTCATTTTTCCAACACTCTCTGAGAAAATAAAAAGTGGAAACAACAGGAAATTGTTTTGCTTTGTGTCTGATTTTTCCAAGTTGGAATGTTTGCTAGAGTGATGCTAACAGCCTAGGTCTATAACCTTGCTATTCCTCTACACAATCCAGAGAAGCTCATGTTTCCTTTTTGAATTTATGCTGCCCATGGTGCATTGTATTTCACAGAATTATGCAACCACAATGCATCAGAGGATACCTGCTACTGGATTGGAATGCTTTATGGCATACACCCTCCAGTTCAAGTAGAAGAAGAAGAACAGTAACACATTTAAAGTCAGTGTGAAAACAAATTGACTCCAAATTCAATTTTTGTTCTTCCAAGAAACAGACTGGCCAAGGAATTAGTTGTCAGAAGTAAACACATCCACAAACATGTATCTGGGTTAAATGGGCATCCATAGCTTGCCTGGGTAGCCTGTGCCAGGCCTCACTACCCCCTGTGTAAAGAATTTCCTCCTGGCATCTAACC